GTTGATTAATCATTTTTATTGTGGAGGATGTTAATCATGGATATTATTATCTTTATTATTTTAATTTTAAAGAAATACATGAAACAGTTTCATTAAAATTTATTAAGTAGTATATGAAACAATTTCACAAGATTAAACAATTTCATGAAAAAATTTCATAAGATTACGACGGATATGATAGTAGTTTTTACGGTTTTTACAAATTGGAGTGGTTTTCATTTGATCGCTCCTCTATATATATGTGTGTGTGTGTGTGTGTGTGTATAGACTTGAAATCATGTGAGACCAAAGGTGTTTCGTGAGACCCGTAAGACTAATTCTCAACCCTTGGATTAGATCTACAATTTAAACATTCATAATCACAAAATTTCCACGAAACTTCTCAATAATCACAAAATTGTAACCGTGCAACTGTAGACCATTAGATCATTAACTTATAAAGTTGATCAATGAACATAAATTAGCCGTACAGGTCTCACGAAAAACCATTGGTCTCACACGAACCCAACCCTATATATATATATATATATATACACACACACAGGGTTGAAAATTTCTAAACCACAGATTCCAATCTAGACAAAAAGATTTTCAGGTATCATCCTTGAAAATCTTTTTAACTAAATTGGAATCTGTGATGAAAGATAAAAAGATTTTTGGGTATCATCCTTTATTCACTTGTCCATTATAGACAAGACTGAGAAAGATTGGTCGTCTAAGGAAGGAATACCAACTATTGATTTTAGAGCTCCCGTCTTATTCAATTTTTTTTAGATGAATTTGACCGAGCTTTCCAAGAGTTATTTCTAAAAATGCCACACGCTCGTTATGAATAGAAATTTTCGTTCCTCCTGGGATTGGAAAATGGAAGGAATTTCATGTACCCAAATAGGAGTTATTGAATAGACTAAGTTTTATTGGAAGATTTTCTATTTAATCCCAGAAGACGACCCAGTTACTTGCATTAGGTTTTTTATATCTATGGACTATAACCATAGATCTATCTCAAAGACTTTTTTTATTTATTAAAAGGGTAAGTTTGTCATTTACAATTTTTTTAATTAAAATATGAAGTCCATTAATTTAGAGGACGGTTTTATTGTTTTTGAAATTTTTTAGCTACTTTTTTTTTTGACAATGATATTTTAATTAAAAAAATTAAGTCCATTAATTTAAGGGGCGGTTTTATTATTTTTTTATTTTATTTTTCATTTTTGGTATGATTTAGATGATAATTATCTAAAACTTAATCAAGAAGATTTATATATAAACTAAGATGATTTCACAGTGATGGTGACGTTTAGTTCGTAAAATGATTTATGAATAAATGGAATTTGTCAAAAGAATTGAAATCTGAAATGAATTGGAATGAAATGTTATCAGGTTTGACCAAGTGTTTAGTTGGCAGGAATGAAATTTAATCTGTCTAATGAATTGAAATCTGTTTATTTGGTTTCTGGCAAAACTGGAATGGAATGATGAAAAAGAAAAAAAATACCTTTCTTTGATATTTTTTTAAAAAAAATTCATTTTTTTAATTACAAATAACAATAAAATTAACATTTAATGAGGAAATTTCAGAATTTAATTGAAAGCAAGCATTAATCGGTCGAGAGCATCATAAGCAGATCCCCTGTGACCACCTGCAAAACCTTCCCTCCGTTAACCCTCTTGTGACCTCTTTACATCTCCGACCACTCAGCATTCTTCTTCTTCTTCTTCTCTCTCATCTCTAGGCGACCCACTCTCACCCCCGCCCATGACCGTACTCCACCATTTTCGTCGGATATAGGTTGGAAAAACTCACCACGGGTATGACTGCAAACGAACCGAACGTTCAACAAACTGTTCGTAAACCATTCGGCGGGAAGTTCGTTTATTTAATAAATGAACAGACATGAAGAATTTTTTTTCATGAACAAGAGTCTCGCTCGTTCATTTACGTTCGTGAACGTTCGTTCATTTACCATTCGTTTATGTTCGTTTATATATTAAATTTAATATATAATCTTTTGTTTATTTACTTTGAATTCAAATAATATTTATTTATGTTCATTCGTTCGTTTAGCATGTTAACGAGCGAACATAAACAAACACGAACACACCTAATTTCTAAACGAACGAACACGAACACAAAGATTTTCGTTTGTTTACTGTTCGTGTTCGTTCGTTTGTTCGGTTAAGTTAAACGAACGAACATGGACAAACCTCCGTTCGTGTTCGTTTGGTTCGTTTACAACCCTAACCACGGGAACACAACCACCCTCTCCCTCCTCCATGGTCATCTCCCTTTCGTCTTTTCTTCTACCTTTTGTTGTCGCCACAATCACCGAAGAACCTGTTTTATGTTTTAGGCTTTTCTAGTTCTCAAATTTGGTTTCAAATTTGTGGAGTTGCAAGGTTGAAGCTTAGAGGAGGGAAGGGGTTTAGAGGGTATTGGCGACAGTGAACCTAGATTTGGGTCTCAAATCTCGTTTGTTTGAACATTTAATGAGGAAATTGGAAGAAAGCAATAATCGGTCGAGAGCATCATAAACAGAAATATAAAACAAGCAGTAATCGGTTTGATTTTGGTTTGATCTTGGTGTTCGATAACCAGGAATCGGAAGCAAGCAAGCAGAAATTGAAAGCAAAAAGTAATCATGAAGTTATTTTCGTCACTTACACATTTTTAGGTGGAATGGATTTCAATGTCATCAGTTTTAGGAATGAATGATGAAATCTTCAAACGGTGGAATCTTTGGAATTCAATTTCATTCCATGGGTGACCAAACGTTATAATGAAATTTAGTCAACGTAATTAACAATTCCAAATCCATCAGATTCCGACAAACCAACCACCCCAGCTTATTGGGTGTGATAGATTTCATATATGTACAACCATGATTTTTTTTCAAATATGGCTATTTCCATATATTCACTACCTTGATTTCATTATATAAATTGCTGAGATGCTCAAAGCACTTCCATAGTTAACGTTTTATGAAAGTTCTTAGTTTATTGAGTTGACGATAACATAACAAACAAGAAAAAGAAATACAAAAAATGATTTTAGAACATGTCCAACAGATTCTCTAAAATGGAGAATCAAAATTCAAAATCTGCAATAAATATTGCATTCAACTCCAAGAACGTCTTCATTTTAGAGATTACAACATTCATTATATTATTAAAATGTTTTATACATTTAATAAAATATTATCTCTCACCTTAACATTCAATTTCAAGATTTTCTAATTTGGAGATTTTTACATCCTCTCTCCTACTTTCTCTATTTTAGGAAAAGTTCTGAGGACAACCAACTGTTTTAAATGAGGTGAACTGAATATACCCTTACCCCCTTAGGGGTGTTTGGGATTGTTTATTTGAAACAACTTACGCTTTTCTACAAATGCACTTATCATCTTATTATAAATCAGAAAGGTTTAACTTCTTTAAAAACTCCTTATTACCGGTTTGGCACCGATATAAGTTGTTTATCCAAACACTCAAAAGTGAAAATTACCGGTTTTTCACACCAGAATAAGTCAATAAGTTGTTTTTATAAGCAATCCCAAACAAAACTCACTTTTTAAATTCACAATGCATGATTTAACCTAATTTTAGCAAAAAAGGAAAGTGCATACAGTATCACCCATTTTCTAAACCAAATCAAACAATATAAGTCGAAAAATAAGATGTATACAGACCTTATTTTTGCAGACTGCCCAAGATGCGGACAGACTGTGACCGAAAAGACCTTGACTTGCAATATTGATGGCACTTATTCGATTACAGAAACCTTCTGTCGATTGAAATCAAATAATAAACACAGATTTTACGCCAAATTTATCTCAGGAATAAAGTGCTTATCGATCTCCGGTATTTCTTTCAATCCTTAATTCAAAGATATTAAGAACAGACAGAATAAATACATTATTTTTCACAAAAAGATACCTCATTCACTCTCGCTCAAAATCGGGACGATGAGAGGATTCATCTGGGCAAGATAAACGATAGCCCACCTGCAAGAACCACAACACACAGCAATCAGCTTCCGCCAATCGGTGGGGAATTACCCATTTGTTATTTGAAATACCATGGACAAAGTAGCACCAGTTATCGCAAGTGTTCTGTTTTGACTAAAGAAAGTCAAACATGCTAATCAACTTCAAAAACTAATATGAATCTACTCAAATTCTGATATAAGATCGTAAAAGATGTACGAAAAACGACACTTTTAGAAAAAAGGGTTGTTGAAAATGTGGATAAGATCAAGACCATGATGTCCAAAAAGAATTATGTTCGGTTCTTAATACATTAGACCATGTGAATGCTGTAACATCCAAGGGATGGGGGAAGTGGATTCATTGAAGTGCTAAGTTGTAATGGTAACAATGGGGAAATAGGTGATTTATTTTTAGCAACAACAAAAACAAGTTGGTAAACCTCCGTTGAGGTTCACGTATAGAAGAAGAAACCTTTAGTTAGCAGCTCAGCTACTGATTTGTATCATGTAATTGAGGGTACTTTGGTAATTACGTCGAGCTTAAATAGTTAGCTGTTCGGTTAGCGTCAGGTATTCTGTTTTGACGATTTCAGTTGGAGAGTGTGAAGCGCAAGCTTTGAGGAGAGAATCCCAGACCTCTCGAAAGTCTGGGAGTTGTATCGATTACGATTTTGCAATAGATTGGCCGACAGTTTCAGCCCTCTTCATTTCAATTTCCGACTGTTCTATCGCATTCCTACTTCTGTATGTTTTCTCGTTTACGATTTGGTGGATAGAGGTACGTTTCTGTTTACAAATTAAGCTAGGGTATAACAAATTGGTATCAGAGCATGTTTCGATTGATGATGGCGAACGTCACGACGCGAAGCACCAATAATCGAATTGAAGATTTGGAAAGTAGTGTTGGATCAATTGAGAGGAGTCTGGAGCGTATTGTACAGCAAATTGAAGATCTGAAGAACGAATTTGTGAATCGAACGAACGCTACTAATTCTTCCGATGAAGAGATGACAACACGGTTAGAGCGCGGGGAACGTAATCGAGGAGGTCAGAATCGATTTCTGGCAGTGAAAGGACGTAAACTGGAGATCCCGATTTTTGATGGCAAAGACCCAGATGGTTGGATTTTGAGAGTTGAACGATATTTCATGTTGAATCAATTGAGCCAAAAAGACAAGATTGATATGTCTTTTATTTCATTTGAAGGGGATGCACTGAAATGGTTTCAATGGGAACACAAGAGGCACCCGATTACCAGATGGGAGGATCTAAAACATCTACTGTTGAGGCAATTCAGGTCATTGTCAGCAGGTTCTTTGTGTGAACAATTTTTGTCAGTGAGACAAGAAGGATCGGTTGAAGATTATAGAAGGAAGTTTGTTGAGTTTGCAGCGCCATTGGATGGGATTCCAGAACAGGTTTTTTTAAGTCAATTCATTAATGGACTGGAAGAGTCTATTAAAGTAGAACTGAGACTCTTGGATCCATTAACACTTAGCGAAGCAATGGAGGTAGCCATGAAGATTGAATTGAAAAACAAAGTGTTATCGAGAGAGAAGAATGCGGGATACGGCAAGAAAACAGGTTCATCTTTCAATTCTAATCAAGAGTCGAAAAGCAATTTTTCTAGTCATGGGTATAATAATGTCGCCAATTCTGTTAATTCCTCGACAATTGCAAGTAAAGCAAATACTGTTTTCGACGTTTGTCTGATCAAGAGGTACAACAAAGAAGATCATTGGGTTTATGTTATCGGTGTGATGAAAAATATGCCCCTCGCCATAAGTGTAAGAAGAAGGAGATGAGTGTGTTGCTAGTTCAAGATGATGTGTTCGAGGATACGGAACCAGAAACGGAGGAAAGAGCTTGCAATACAGCTGAAATTGCTGAAAAAGTAGAGGTACATTTAAAAATTCAGTTGTAGGTTTGACTAATCCTAAAACTATGAAATTGGAAGGAAAGATTGAAGGACAAAAGGTGGTAGTGTTAATTGATAATGGGGCCACACATAATTTCATATCATATGATTTGGTGAAAAGACTGAATTTAAAAATAGAAGCTACTGGTGAATATACTATTACGTTGGGTTCCGGAAACATGGAGAAAAGAAGTGGTATTTGTAAGGGAATAATGTTGTTTTTACCTGAAGTTGAAATAAGAGAAGATTTTCTGCCTTTAGGGTTGGGTAATAGCGACGTGATCTTAGGAATGCAATGGTTGGAGTCTTTGGGAGCGACTTACGTTAACTGGAAATTACAAGTGATGAAGTTCTCCTGTGGAGGAAAATCGGTAATGTTAAAAGGGGACCCGTCTCTGGGACGTTCGATGGTGTCATTAAAGGCGATCGGAAAAATGATCAATCATGAAGAACAGGGCATTTTGGTGGAATTGGGCACTTGTTCGGTGTTTTTGGATAATATGGCGGAATCAAATATTGTTTTGGAACCACTATTAAGAGAATTTGAATCGGTTTTTAACATGCCACGGGGATTACCATCGGAGAGAGGTAGGGAGCATGGGATCGTGTTAAAGGAAGGGAATGAAACGATTAATGTTCGGCCATACTGGTACCCTCATTATCAGAAAGATGAAATTGAAAAATTGGTAAAGGAGATGCTCAAGGCGGGAGTTATTCAGCCGAGTATGAGTCCCTTCTCTAGTCCGGTATTGTTGGTAAAAAAAAAGATGGAAGTTGGCGATTTTGTATTGATTATCGCGCATTAAACAAGGTAACTATTGTTGATAAGTTTCCGATTCCGGTTATTGAAGAACTTTTGGATGAATTGCATGGGGCAACCGTATTCTCCAAACTCGATCTAAAATCGGGTTATCATCAGATTCGAATGAAAGAGGAGGACGTTTATAAGACAGCATTTCGTACCCATCAAGGACATTACGAGTTCTTAGTAATGCCCTTTGGATTGGTTAATGCACCGGCAACATTTCAAGGATTAATGAATGAAGTTTTCAAGAATTATCTACGGAAGTTTGTATTGGTTTTTTTTTTTTATGATATTCTGGTCTACAGTAAAACGATTGTAGAACATCAGGTGCATCTACGGAAAGTGTTGGAGGTTCTTTGCCAACATCAGTTGTTTGCGAATAAAAAGAAATGTGAGTTCGGTCGAGATCGTTTGGGGTATTTGGGTCATATAATTTCAGCAAAAGGAGTCGAAGTTGATCCATCGAAAATTGCTGCGGTTTTGGATTGGGTGGAACCGAAATCGGTGACGGAATTAAGAGGATTTTTAGGGCTGTCCGGGTATTATAGAAAATTCATAAAAGGGTACGGTATTCGAGCCAAACCTCTCACCGACCTCCTAAAAAAAATCAATTCAGTGGACTCCGGAAGCTCAACTGGCGTTTGATGAATTGAAGAAAATGTTATCTTCAACTCCGGTGTTACGCCTTCCCGACTTTTCTAAAGATTTCGTAGTGGAGACAGATGCATCGGGATATGGTCTGGGAGCGGTTCTTATGCAAGAGGAACCGATCGCATACTTTAGTCAAGCTTTAGGGCTAAGGGCGAAACAGAAGTTGGTTTACGAGAAGGAGTTAATGGCCATTGTGTTGGCTATAAAAAAGTGGAGACCATATTTGTTGGGAAAGAAGTTTGTAGTTCGTACAGATCAACAAAGCCTTCGTTTTTTATTAGAGAAACGAGTGGTGGAACCGGAGTATCAGAAATGGGCTAGTAAATTACTGGGTTATGACTTTTCAATTGTCTACAAGCCGGGGAGTTCCAATCAAGCGGTGGATGCGCTTTCTCGTAAAATCGATTCAGTGGAATTGGCCAATATGGTGAATTTTACGTGGAGAAATTGGGATGACTTGAAACAAGAAATCATTGGCGATAGTTTTCTGAACCGTATCAAAGACGACTTAAGTTTGGGGAAGGCCGAGCACAAGGGATTCGAGATTCAACAAGAGTTGCTACTGTATAAAGGTCGTCTGGTTATTCCTCGTTTGTCCAAAATGATACCGCTAATTTTTGAGGAATTTCATGGATCGCCAATTGGAGGTCATACGGGAGAAGATCGGACGTATCAACGTATTGCATCGAAGGTTTTTTGGGTGGGAATGAAGAAAGACATAGTGGATATGGTTAAAAATTGTGAGGTGTGTCAGAGGAATAAAAATCTGAGCGGCAGTCCGGCTGGCCTTTTGTAACCTTTATCCTTACCAGATAAAGTATGGGACGAGATTTCTATGGATTTCATCGAAGGTCTACCCCGATCAAACGGTATGAGTTCCATCATGGTAGTGGTAGACTGGCTCAGCAAATACGCCCATTTTGTTGGGTTAAAACACCCTTTTAATGCTCAAACGGTAGCAGAAGCATTCGTAAAAAGTATAGTCCGATTGCACGGGGTGCCTCAGTCGGTGATTTCGGATCGAGATAAGGTTTTCCTCAGTCGATTTTGGAAGGAGTTGTTTCGTTTGCAAGGAACGAAGTTGAAGTTCAGTTCGGCGTACCATCCACAGTCAGACGGTCAAACCGAGGTAGTGAATCGTTGCTTGGAGCAATACTTGAGATGTTGGGTGTCATCTACACCTAAACAATGGTGCAAATGGCTCCCATGGGCTGAACTTTCGTATAATACCTCTTTTCATACGGCCCTTAAAGTGTCTCCTTTTAAGGTGTTGTATGGAAGAGATCCTCCTCCTTTACTTCGTTATACAGCAAATTCATCGAGGGTACAATCGGTAGATCATGAGTTGACGGATAGAAAAGAAATGCTTGTTGAAGTGAAATTGCAATTGTTGAAGGCTCAATTTCATATGAAACAGTATGCTGATTTAAAGCGTAAAGAAGTGGAGTTTGTGATAGGAGATTGGGTTTTCTTGAAGTTGCGTCCTTACAGACAGAAATCGTTGGTAATGGGGAATAGTCCTAAACTTCTAGCTCGTTTTTATGGACCGTATAAAGTGCTGGAAAAGGTTGGGAGTGTGGCGTATCGTTTGGATCTACCAAGTTCAACGAAGATTCATCCGGTTTTTCACGTGTCTCAATTAAAGAAAGGCTGTGGGAAGTTGTATTTCTACTCAAGATTTTCCAACTCAGATTTCGGACGAATTGGTATTACAAGCTGTTCCGGAAGATATTTTGGATGTGCGACAGTTACCAAATGGTGATGTGGGTCAAGTGGAGGTTTTGGTAAAATGGGAAGGAATGTCAGATTTTGAAGCTTCTTGGGAGAATTACGAGGCACTTCTTCAGCAATTTCTTAATCGTCACCTTGAGGACAAGGTGAAATTTTTGGGGGGGGAGTATTGGTAAACCTCCGTTGAGGTTCACGTATAGAAGAAGAAACCTTTAGTTAGCAGCTCAGCTACTGATTTGTATCGTGTAATTGAGGGTAGTTTGGTAATTACGTCGAGCTTAAATAGTTAGCTGTTCGGTTAGCATCGGTAGACCCATGGCTTGTACAAAAACGTAAGCAAAAACGAAGAGGAAAGAAGATATGTGATCAAAAATTCACATAAACTATACATGCTTTCAATTGTCATAAACAAACTTTAACCAAGGATCAAGGTGTCACACTTACATCATCCAACAGCATACTGTCGCAGTGATCACCAATGTGAGGTGTAACCTGCACCATAAATACATGTTACTGTTATACAAAGGCACGCAAGGAACAATCTATTAGAAGAAACTAGTAAGCTATTTCATGAAAAATCAATAACTCGTCAATATGAGTTGACAAGTTTCAAAAACCACAAAAAGTAGCAACTAAAGACCTATACACAACACAAACCATAGAAAATATAATCATGTCCAAGTAAAAAAAAAAGAGCTTATGATTCAAACAAGTCTTTACAAAGTAAGACCAGAACAAATCAAACACAGAGTGTCTCCTACTAACTCAAAAGTAGGGACCCCACACAGGGGAGGAGGGGGGGGGGGAGATGTGCTGACCTGACCCCTCTACCCTAAAGACTAGAGCAAACCACAAGGGTGGTGCCTGATTGGTTTGAGCTTGGCTCCAAAGGTTAAAAGTACCTGAAGGTCCCATGTTCAAATCCAAGGAGAAATAGAAATCCCCTTGTGGCCATGGAGGTTCAAATGCGGTGATCCGGACTATCTACAAAGCAGGTGGTCGTCCTGGAATTAGTCGGCTTGCATAGCGGGTTGGATATCCAGGTTAATCAAAAAAAAAAAAAAGACTAGAGCGTTTTCTATGAAAATCCCAGGCTTGTGAAAAAATGCAAAAAGATTTTCATGGAGAACCAAGCATGGGTGGATGCACGCTATAAGGGCAGGGGGCTAAAAGTTGAAGTAAGTTGTGAATTAGCTTTTTTACAACCCCAACTCTCATACTTACTCCAACCTTTGCCCGTTGCTGCTCCAACCTTCAACTAGCAATCCACTCACTGTTTTGGTGTCATAATTCTCAGCAACTAGTGTTTTTTTGGATGATTTTGATATTTAAGTCAAACGTTTCTTTTGGCATGCTTGTCACTTTTGTCAAGTTATGAGTTATTCGATTTTTGATTTTCTTTATACCCCTAGGTGTGCCCCTGATCACCTAACACACCAGATCTGCAACTGGAATCAAGCATTTCAGGAAGCATACGTGTTTAGAAAGTATGTAGTACAAACTAGCCAAAAATATGCCTCACCCCATCTTTTTTACAAGAAACACATTTTGATTCGTTTAAGAAACAGAGAGCCTAAGTTTTCATGGCCACAAGAAGAAGAAACCTATTACAGAGTTGGCACAAAGGTAACAAAAAAATGAACTGCTTTGTTGTTCAAATGGTACACAATCAACTATCATCAGATTCAATAGGTCAGCCATCAAATTGATACATTAATTTCTTGTAGACCATCACAAATGGAAGCACATAGCCAAGGGCGAATTCTACCGAAAATAAACTGTTCAAATCAAAGAAATACATTGAGTTGTTTTCAACATTAAAACAGTTATAAATTTCAAGCTTTGTGTTAAAAGAAACTGATAGACTACATTTGTTTAAAAAAACTGTTTTGACTACATAGTCTACATTACATTGCAACAAACACTACAAATTAGAAGCTACAAACTATCAGCAAATCAATACCAATATATGGTTTTGCAGAGTACAGGTTCAGAAATCAAAAGGGTCTAATCACATATAGTGTTGCTAGAAGGAGGAAGTTTTATTTTACAAAAAGAAAGTACGAGTCAAACTGGATGGCAATCGAGGAGGAAAATTGCATTTAATCAAGCATATTTATTCATACAAACATAAGAGAAGATACAAAACGAAATTAACACCACAAATCCAATGATCGGACTTTAATCATTTGCAGCAATCTAATAAAGGTGTTTACTCAAATCTCCAAAATGATTACGCATTGATGACAGAAGACAAACAATTCTAAGTGTACGAAATTTCACTTTTTAATGTCAATTTGAAGTCGAACAAACAAATTCAACTACCTTTTAATACGGGACCGAGGAGGGGTAAAACGCATATGAAAGTAAGATTATAGATGAATGACAACAACAAACTTAAGTGAACTCAGGATAATATCAAAGAAACATACAGATTAGCAGAAGGCCCTTTGTTGCAACAGATTCGAGCGCAAAGTGACGCGACGATTCCGATAACAACGAAAACGAGGGTTGTAAGTAGAAACCCCATCGCTGTAGATCGATCTAAGTCGCAGTGCAGAGCCGATCGGTTTAGAAAAACCGAAAGTGGAGAAGAAGGCGTTGGTGGTGGCGGAAGCGGCGGCGATAGGGGCAGAAGTAGACGGTGGTGGTGGTGGTGGTTTATGGAGAAAAAATCACAAATCCGACGTTGATAAAGACACACAGAAGATAGGCCAGATCTTGGATAAGCGACACCACGTTAAATTTTGATTTCAACTGTATTTCTTTTTTATTTACTTTTAAAACAAATATTCTCGTTAATGAGTTTAATTGAATTTAGAGCTTATTGAGTCAATTATACATCACCGTTTGTTAAGGTAGCGTTTGGTACACAGATATGATTGGACAAGACTGGACTGGACAGAACAGGACAAGAGGGTAGGACTGGACAGCACAAGAGTATGTTTGGTGTTTGGTATGACTAGGACCGGACGGGACAGAAATAGACAAGCTACCCCCAAAAGTTATTTGATGGTTTTAAATGTTATATAATAGTTATAGTTAACACAAATAAAGTAAATAAATAAAAAATTTAATTTATAAATATTTGTACACAATTTTCATATAAATGAATACATACATATATAATGGTACCAAATTTGAATGAAAAATTTGATATAATTGATGGTAGTAGTGGTGGCAGTGGAGGTGGAGGTGGAGGTGGTGGTGGCCGACGGTAGTAGTGGCAATGAGCGGTGGTTATGAAGGTAGAGGCAGTGGTGGTTGGTGGACGGCGGTGGTTATAGAGGACATGAAGATGGTGGATTATGGTGGTGCTTGCTGGCTTGTGATTGACACCGGTGGAGGAGGTAGTTGCTGAATATAGTTATGGTGGAGGTGAGGTGGCAATGAATGGTGGTGGCCGATGGTGTTGAGGAGGTTATTGTAGTAGATGAGGAGTTCGAGGTGGCCAACGGTGGTTGTGGAGGTCATGGAGGAGGTTGTTGCGGTATAAAAGGATTTCGAGGTGGCCAATGGTGGTAGTGGTGGTGGTAATGTGTGGTGGTAGTCGGTAGCCAATGGTGGTTGTAAAGGTGGCAATGGGTGGTGGTGAAGGAGATTGTTCTAGTAGAAGAGGAGGAGTTGGAGGTGGCAAATGGCGGTAGTGGTGGTCGAATATGGTATAGGTGGCGATAGACTTGGTGGACAATGGTTGTGGAGGCGGTGGAAGATGTTGTAGTGGAAGAGGAGGTGTCGGTGGTGGTGGCGGCAGCCAAAACCAGAGGATGACCATTAAAACAAATATCATATTAAGGTTATATATCAAACTAGGGTAGATTAGTAATATTTTAGTTTATGTTTCATTCTTGTCTCATCTTGTTCCACCTATTTTGGTGGAACAAGAAAAAGCCTCTTTTGTCCCATGTTGTCCCAATTCTTGTCCCTGTCCCATGTCACGCCAAACACGGGACAGTGGGTTCTTGTTCTGTCCCATGCTGCGCCAAACATGGGACAATGAGTTTTGTCCCGTCCTGTCCTGTCCCGTCCCATGTACCAAACGCACCCTAATAGATCAATGGTATCAGACATTGGTTCATTCGATAAGTTTTTCAAAAAGAAATTTTATGTGGAAGGTCAAGTTTTTTCAAACATGTCTCTCTCAATTAAAAAGCACGCTTCTTGCATCTATGAAAAACTCTCTCAAACCTCTCAGTTCATTCAGGCAGATTAATTCACATAGGGACCGTTTACCAAACGCTTACTCGGATAAGTGAACACCAAGTCATATTACCTTACCGGATGAATATGGTAAGGATCAAAAATCTTATCTAGTAAGAGCGAAGCAAGGACCAAGAGTCTTACCCGGGTAAGTGAGGGCGACGACTCTTACCACGGTAAGCGCTTACCGGGTAAATTGTTGCATATGATACCATTTTGGTGGATTAATCTTATCCGATAAGTAAATGATAGTATTAAGTTTACCAGTAAGCGCTTACCAGGTAAGTGTTTGGTAAACGGTCCCATAATCTTTATTAAAAGAAGACTTAATGAAAAACAAAACAAACAACCCCTAAATTGGATTAGTTATTACGTTATTCATATTAAGGGTTATTTGCTCATATACGAATTAAGTTGTTTGTATCATGTAATATAACTTACTTTAGTTATTGTGTTGAATAAACAATCTGAATATCACAAATAACTATGTATTTACAGTTTATATTAAACACTTATAAAAATAATTAAATCATGAACTTTGAATGAAAAAAATATTGAATGACTGAATTATTAAAAGGGGGAAAACGAACACTTTTTCTCAGTGTTCTTACAATTAATACTTCTAAAATTACAATACAAAATCAAAATATGAATCATAAGTTTTTTGAGAATTCATATGTCAATTGATCATGCGAGGATTGAGAATATTCTGAATGAAATCGAGTAAGATTTTGCTCACCTTCCAAGTTGACAAAAAATATAACAAAAGGAATAAGCATGTAAAGAAAAACATCACAAAATCAGTGTATGATAGAACGATGATCTTCATCAATGATAGGTCTAAAGAATTAGAAGGCATTTTTGTTGAATATAGACCTAATCAATTGAGTTTTGGTAACAGAAAACGTCACTATATGCAATTTCTTTTGTGCTCTTCACTTGCATTGGAACCGGAAAGGAAAATATGCACATGTTCGTGTGCATGTTTCAAAAATCCAATCGACACTCGGAATCGTCTTCCTTATGGTAAACGACCAAAAATGATTGTACGAAAGCTTCAAGCAACCAACCTTTTATGTTGCCTAAAATGAAAAGAGAGATCTTGTATTGATTACTTTGAACTTGAAAGTTATTATAATAAACGATCTCTTGTTTTTAAATTTCATGGACCCACAATCGACTCTCAACCTTTTATAGTCTTGGAACTCTTGACGAGGAGGGGCTTGTAGGGTTGATTTGTTTCTAGTGATGGAGATGCAGAACAAGAAACCGAGAGATGGGGTTCAAGACGTAAGATTTAATGGAGAATGAGAGGGATGGGATGAAGATGTATGGATTAAAAGGTGGAAGGGTAAAATGGGAATAAATAGATGATTAAACTGAATCCATATTGCTCTATTATATAGGCTTACCAAGTATGCTACAACTGAACGCTCGTGTGTCGGTTACCGAGTAAGCCATATAGGTCATTAAGCCATTATCGGATATAACCACATGGTTACATTACTTACCATTTTACCGTTTAATCTCCAAAGATAATCAAATTTTAAACTGCCAAAATATACGAGATATAATTTTGAAACAAAACTCTGAAATGTCCACTTTAATTTGATGTGCTTTAATCATTTTCTTCTCTTTCACTAAAACACAAATTAACCCAAAAATTAAAGATTCACAAATCAAAAGTTACCTACAATCATTCGGGGACATATCTACCCGTTGGAATACGTACATATATATTTACACACCAAAAGCAATTACATTTATACCCAAAAGAGTTAGGTTGTCCCTTGAGTCAATATCTGAACTAAGTCTCCTTATAATTCCCTTTATCTATACTTTTTTTTCCTTAAAAAGGTTAATAAAAAACAGGTAAGCTAGGACGCTTAGTGAGACTATATAAAAGTACATGATTAAGATGTGTTATATTAAAATATAATAACCGAAGAATGAAACGAGATCTCGAAACGATTGCTATTATAACATCGAAGACCAACAACTCGAAGAATTATGTGAATACATCATAAATTCCAATAGTAACATACGTTCTTACCAATGAACTTGACAACGAAAAGACATTCGTGCCATGCAAACTTCTATCACCTGGCTCTAGTGTTGTATGACATAAACATTTCATGAATCAAACATAAAAATATCAAGAATAGCGCACCATTACCACCTTCATCTACTGGGTACGTGCAAATTAGTACTCACACTCGTCTCCTGCCATTCGAGATATGTGAGTACAACGAATTGGTATGTCACACCCAACCTCCGTCTCCCTGGGATATGTGAACATACACCGCTTTCCAACGTACCACACAAAGTAGTGCTCGTATTCACGGTTTACCAAGAGATCAACAAACAGACGTGGATCCAGACTCGACTGACATTTCAGAAAGATCATACGAACACAAATCAGAATCAGAAGGACTCATTCATGTTACACTTACCAAAACATGAAATACAACTAATACAAACAGAAAATGCATACATATATAAGTATATATAAACATATATTTCATATAGACTCACAGTGCATGTAATGGGTCAACCGAACGCTCAACAGAAAGTTTCGTTTCAACTCCGTAGTCCAAATATGTATGGTACTCCAAGAGCTTCCAATTATACCTTTGTATTCCCTGGAGGATACACATTCAATTCCATAAGCATATAATTATACTGTCTCATTCTATTCCATTCTTAGTTAGCTAATTCTATTCTAATTTTCCTTGTACAGTCCCCCAGATCTAACACATTTTTACCATTTTAAACTCAGAATTACATCCTGACTTCTAAACAAGAAATAAATTAGACATTTTACCTTTCAGATGCCACCGATCTCATGTCTATTGGATTTTTCTTTGATTTTATATGAATTTTCTAAAACAGGACATAAACATTGACTTTTTTGTTTTAAAAATGGCTATTTTTATCAATCTTGTATCCAAACACATTCCAATTTGGAACCAAATTCATATTTCTATCTTAAAATATTACAAACTTTACAAAATAGCAAAACTCAAGCATTATTCATCAAAAATCATCACTTTAGAGCTTGTCCCTTGTTGCATGAATCCAAATACATCAAAAAAATCTAAATACTAACATTTATATCTTCAAAATCTTTACAATTTCTCCAAGATTTTGCTAGATTTTAGCTTTAGGTGTGTGAATTTACGCACACGCTTTGGTCAAGAAGTTTGTAGAAGTAAAAACAATGTGAAAAGTCTAATTTTCATCACTTTATTGTAAAAGAACTCATTTTGGGTTAAGTTTGATCCGACTCGGTTGACCCAACACCCATTTTGATCATCAGGCACGTAGAAAGATTTCATAACTTTTCGCCCACGTGTTTGTAACAACATAATTGATTATAATTATATTAATTTTTTAACAAATATAATCCAGAAAAGGTGTTAGGACTAAAATAGTCCTAAATATTATTAAAGTTTAATTGAAATAAGGGAAAAGCTTAAAAAACCCAATGGACTTTAGTGTTTGGAATGATTAAGTCATTGGACAATTTTTTGAAA